TAGTCGCTTCCAGCCTGCACGTGTTGCTTTTGTTGGAATGATGGTCATATGTGGGAGCTCAGTATCAAGAGTGCAGACTTAAGACCCTTTGGCTCATGTTTTTCCCACAGATACTTACTTTTCCTGAAATTTATTTGGGTGTACCACATGAGGTGGGATTAACTTTTATTTCCAGTCACAGGGTGAGCCCGCATCCCAGCCTACTTCCACCATTCTGCGAGGTCACCATGTCATAGCCTAAGCTCTCGTGTGTTGTTGTTATGCCCATTGTTGTGTGTACTATCAGCCTGTTCCAGCACCAAAACCAAAACTGATTTTATTGTTTTTTTTTTTGTTTGTTTGTTTTTTTGAGATGGAGTTTCACTCATGTTACCCAGGCTGGAGTGCAATGGCGCGATCTTGGCTCACCGCAACCTCCGCCTCCTGGGTTCAGGCAATTCTCCTGCCTCAGCCTCCTGAGTAGCTGGGATTACAGGCACGCACCACCATGCCCAGCTAATTTTTTGTATTTTTAATAGAGACGGGGTTTCACCATGTTGACCAGGATGGTCTCGATCTCTTGACCTCGTGATCCACCCGCCTTGGCCTCCCAAAGTGCTGGGATTACAGGCTTGAGCCACCGCGCCCGGCCCTGATTTTATTGTTTCATTTGCACTTGATAGCACAAGTTTTCTCATCACTCTTTATTTTTTATTTTGCTCAACTACTCTTGCTTTTACTTCCAAATAAAACTTGGATTCATTTTGCAAACTCCTGTCTACAAAAAAAAGCAAAAAAGATTTCTTGGAAATTTTGATTAAAATTACATTCAATTATAGAATTTAGAAATAACTGATATTTTTAAATATCAGTTTAAGATAGTGGGATGGCTTCTTATCCAAAACAAGGCTTGTTTCTCCAATATATTCCTTAAAAAAAAAAAATTGAGTTTTTTCCCTGAGTCCTGTACATTTTTATTCAGTTAATTCCTTGAGTTTTTGTTGTTTTTATTGCTAGTGTAAATAGCATTTTTTCTGCAACATTTTCTAACTGGTTGTTAGTGATAGAAGAATATCAATAACTTTTGTATATTGAGGACTAAGTTCTGGTTTTCTTATCTTGCCTATATTCCTATCTAAGGGGTCTGGAGAATCATGCCCTACAAACTGTCGTTCTCGTCAGATGGGTTTTATCTAATGCTATATGTCGTGACTTACTTTCCAGTCTGACTCTGGCATAACATTACGTGACAAAGAAGAAAATCAAAATATTTTACCCCCAAACATGTTTCTTTGCCACATTTTGAAATGGCCCTGCAAAGCCATCCTTTATTGGGGAAAATTTCATATGTAAAGAATCTCTAGTAACATAGCTGGATCTTTTTCTCCCAGGCCCTCCCAATCCTGAAGAGATTAAGAGTCTAGCACGTTTTAAAGATCTGAATAGGAAACATTTGTCATCTATTGTTTCTAAGGGCAGCCACTATAAGACTTCAAAAGAACCTTGGTCTCCACAATCTTTTATCTTAACCTGAACATTTCCTTTCTATTAATCCCAGGTCTTTAGACAAACTCAACCAATTGCCAACCAGAAAATGTTTAAATTTTCCTATAGCCTGGAAGCCTCCCCTCCCAACTTTGAATTGTCCTGCCTTTCTGGACCAAACCAATGCATTTCTCAAATGTATTTGATTGATGGCTCATGCCTCCCTAAAATGAATAAAACCAAGCTGCACCCCAGCCACCTTGGGCACATGTCTCAGGACCTCCTGAGAGCTGTGTCACAGGCCATGATCATTCATATTTGGCTCAGAATAAATCTCTTCAAATATTTTACAGAATTTAACTCTTTTCATTGATAATATATTTATCCAAGTGACTCACTAAATTCATTGACCTTCTCTCCTCTGCTTTCTCTCTCTCTCTCTCTTTCACTTTAAAAAAAAATCTTTGTTCATTTGATTTTCTGGGTAGACCATCCTATCTTTAACAAGGACAGTTTTGTCTCTTCTTTTCCAACATTTATACTTTGTTTCTTTTTACTTTCTTATTGCATTGGCTTCCAACACAACACTGAATAGTGGAGTAAAATCAGCATTCTTTCCCCCACCCCGTTTTTTTTTATGCACCTAATAACCATCTAATAAGCATTATCCTTCTCGTGCAGGAATTTTTAACCCAGGGTTAGATCTATATGAATGGAATCCCCAAATTCCTGGACGTAATTTCTGTATATGAGTATCTATGCATTTCTGTAAGGTGACATTGTCTAGACACTTCAAAGAGTCCAGGACCACAAAGATAAGAATCTCTATTTTGGCTTTTCCTGTAAAATATGATGTGAGCTCTTGATTTGAAATGTATATCCTTTATAATGTTATTTCTACTCCCAAATTTCTTGCTAGGTTCTACCTTGTCTGGTGGTGTTGTTGCTTCTTAATTAGAAATGGCTGTTTTGGGGATCTACTGAAGCAATTGCATATTTTCTTCTTCTTATGTTGATGTGACATTAACATATTCCCTAGTGTTTGTGGCATCACTGTATTTTTAACCAACTAACTTCCTATTATAGTTCTGGTATAGTGGCCCTTAACATACTATTGGATCTTAGTTTTTAAGATTGGCTAGGATTTTTGTGATAATGTTATGGGATCTTTAGGGTGTTACTTTTCTGGCCTGAAACCTCTGTGGCTGGTGGCACCTTTGCCCAAGTTCTTGTCCTGTGTGCAGGAAGAATGAGGCACGCAGACAAGTGGAGGGTGAGCAACACTGAACATTAGGACAGCTCACAGGAGACCTGCAGGGGGCAGCCCCTCTCTGTAGGCAGGTTGTCTTGTCAAGTGCTCAGCTCTCAGCAGAGAGGAGGCCCTGGAGAAGGTGTCTCCTCTCTGCAGACAGGGCATCCCGACTAGTGTGCAGCTCTCAGCGGAGAGGAGGCCCTGGAGAAGGTAGCTCCTCTCTGCAGCTGGTCGTCCCACCCTCTGCCCTGCTCTGAATGAGCCTGGGGCTTTTATGGGGCTCAGAGCGGGGAACTGTATGCTGATTGGTCCATGGGCAGCCACGTGCAGACCTAGAGAAAAGCACCATAGTTCCCCCTCCAGTCCATAGGACTGGCAGCCTGGCCCCCAGGCTTCAGGCCTGCCCCAGTGGGAGGGTGGGGCTTCACTGGGGACCCTCTTCTTTCCGCCCAGGAGCCTGTCTGCCTCCTGCAGCCACCCATGGTGCCCAGGCTGCTGGCACCAAGGGGAACCTGCAGGCCAGCACCCAGCTGCCCTCAGCACCCCCCGCAAGCTTCCCCTCCTGAGCTCCTCAGTGCCCAAAGTCTGCAGGGGCCAAAGCAGCAGGGGGCTGGCATGTCAGCATGGCCACAAGCGTGCACACACCCAGCCAGGCTATGGCAGCACCTGGGCTCTGCCCCAACTCTGCTCTGAGATTGGAGCAGGTGTCTGGAGCTGGAAGAGGCTGGGGAGCAGGAGCAGGCACCCAAGCCTACAAGGGCAAGAAGGGCCTTCCCTGGTCCCCCAAGAGTGCAGGGATGCCTGGGTCAGCAGCCCTAGTTTTGGCTGCTGCAGCTGCACCAGAGGTGGGGGGAGGCTCCTGCCTGCTCCAGGGAGCATGAGGCCCGGATCTCAGCCACAACTTAGGCAGCTGCAGTTGTACTCGGAGTTCCCGAACCACCAACCTGGAAGGGGCAGGGCTCCCACTTGTCCCAGCTCCTGCTGGCTCCATGGAGCTTGGCACCTGGCCACGCTCTCTCACCCCAGGCCTTTGCTGGACCAGGGCCTGCATCCCAGGCAGGGGCAACACCGCTGCAAGCTCCCCTTCACCCAGCATGCCACCCTACCCAGCCTCATCGCAGCAGCCCCCAGGGAGGCAGTCTGCGGGGCTGGGGGTGTCCGCCTTTTCCCCGTGCCTTCCCTGAGCAGCTGGCGTGATGGCAGTGGCCACACCAGATGGCCTGCCACTGCCATCAGTAATATTTATAGTGATATTTATCTATAGAGTTACTTTTAGGGATTTCTTTTTAATCGAGCTTTGGTCCTGGGTTATGCCAGGTTTAAAAATGAATTGGGAAAATGTTTGTCTTTTTATGTTCTAAAACAAGTTAAATCGCATAGAAGTGCTAGTCCTTGAAAGTGTGAAAGAACTCACCCACAAACTGCCCAAGCTGGCATTTGGGAAGGGACTTCATTCCTCCCTGGGCCCCAGGCTGGGTGGGTCTGGCCCGGGTCACCTTGTCATTGACGAAGCTGCAGAATCACAGCAACCCTTCAGGGCCCTCTCCTGGCAGCCCCTCCTCAGTTCCAGTGCTAGGACACGCATCCCGTCTGCACCGAGGGGAGGGCAGCACTCAGACCCCTGCATCGCCCCTGGATCTGCATGCTCTGAACCAGGCCCTGTGCCGTTCCACCCAGCTACTGCCAGCCCCACTCTGTGGAGCCAGCAGGCACATGAGGCCCTTCCTGACGGCCTCCTGGAGCTGGAGCTCAGGCCAAGCCACAGGGCACCAGGGAGGACGGACCTGCAGAAAGGAAAACTAGGCTAATCATGGCCATGTCCCCACACTTGACAGCGTCCTCCCCACTCCTTATGAAAGTCCTGTTTAAAGGAATGGAGCCAGGCTGGAGAGTGCCTAGCTCTATAGGGGAGCCCGTGTCAGGAAGCTAGGATCTTTTACCCACCCTCCCCTCTGTGTTGCTTCCGGGGCAGCCCCTGGCAGGGGGCGGGCTCCAGACCGTGGTGCTCCATTCCCTTCCGTGCCAGCGGCCCAACTGCCTACTCCACCCAGCTCTGGAGGGCATGGAGGGGCCTTGAACACCCAAATCCCACCCAGGGCGGGGTGAGAGGGCACAGCCCCCGAGTCCAGATGCTGGTGACAGTGTGCGCCAGGCGCAGACCCTGTTTCCTTGAAGACTGAGGGCAGTGCCCCCAATCCCACCGATATTGTCTGTGCACCTGCCACGGGGAGGGGTGCAGGAGGGGGACATAGGGGCATCTGCAGTGACCCCACGCTCATTGCAGGACTTCAAGGCCACGGCTCCCGCCAAGATGCTCCAGGGTCCGCGCTCCGCGCTCCTGCTCTGGGGAATCCTGGGGGCCATCTGGGCCCAGCAGCAGGAGGTCATCTCGCCAGACACTGCTGAGAGAAACAACAACTGCCCAGGTGCCAGGGGCTGGGGGCCAGGGGCTCAGAGCATGCCGGGGGAAGTTGGGACCGGTGCCCAGGTGCCAGGGGTTGGGGGCTCTGGGCATGCGGGGGGCAGTCAGGACAACCACAGGCATGGAACCAGGAGACGGGGTTGGAATAGCAGTCCCTCCCGAGGCAGGCTCAAGATGGGTCCTGTGCCCCCACAGAGAAGACCGACTGCCCCATCAATGTGTACTTCGTGCTGGACACGTCAGAGAGCGTCGCCATGCAGTCCCCCATGGACATCCTGCTCTTCCATATGAAGCAGTTCGTGCCGCAGTTCATCAGCCAGCTGCAGAACGAGTTCTACCTGGACCAGGTGGCGCTGAGCTGGCGCTACGGCGGCTTGCACTTCTCTGACCAGGTGGAGGTGTTCAGCCCACCGGGCAGCGACCGGGCCTCCTTCATCAAGAGCCTGCAGGGCATCAGCTCATTCCGCCGCGGCACCTTCACCGACTGCGCACTGGCCAACATGACGGAGCAGATCCGGCTGCACGGGAGCAAGGGCACTGTCCACTTCGCCGTGGTCATCACCGACGGCCACGTCACTGGCAGCCCCTGTGGCGGCATCAAGCTGCAGGCCGAGCGGGCCCGGGAGGAGGGCATCCGGCTCTTCGCGGTGGCCCCCAACCAGAACCTGAAGGAGCAGGGCCTGCGGGACATCGCCAGCACGCCACACGAGCTCTACCGCAGTGACTACGCCACCATGCTGCCCGACTCCACCGAGATCGACCAGGGCACCATCAACCGCATCATCCAGGTCATGGTGAGCCACGGGCCACAAGCGCTGACCACTCACCAGGGGCAGCGGCGGGCAGCCCGCCCACTCCAGGCCTCAGTTTACCGGGAGGCCGAAGGAGGCTCGGGGCAGGACCTGGGCCACTCAGGTGTCCCTCGACCCCCACCCAAACTCAGGTCCAGCCACCCCAGAGCTAACCAGCACTTCTGTCTTTTCTGCAGAAACACGAAGCCTACGGAGAGGTGAGTGGACGTCCTTTCCTGCCCGTGCTGACGGCCCCTGACACAGCAGACATGGCCATGCCAGGCTGCCGACTCCTGGCACCTCCAGGCTGGACAGATGAGAGGAGGAGAGGGAGCCCCCTGCTCCATGTTGGACCTGAGGCCTTTGAGTCTGGACAACTGGCTCCCGGCCAAAGCCAGGCTGTTTAGATCCCCTGAGGATCAGCATTAGGGTCACCCACAGAGCACGTGTTACAAGGAGCGGCGAGGGTCCGGCCCCCAGGCGGGCAGGATCCCTCCACCCTGGGCTCAAGGCCCAGGCCTGGCCCACCACGTCAGGGGGGAAGGAACTGGCATCACTGGGGTCCCGGTCTTTCTTCCCTTCTGTTTTCTGTCATGGCTTAAGCCAGCCTTGGTTTTCCAAATCTTGCCTAGAACACTTTACAGAACCAAACTCTCTGGTTTGTCCCTGATAGGGGTGGAGCCTCACAGCGCCCCACATCTGCTCCCTCATCCCAGCCCGGGGTCTCAGGGCATCTCAGCAGCTCCTTGGCTCCTGCTGAGGGTCGTGGGCTACACGTTGTGAGCCCCTGCCCTGCCACCTGGAGACTGTCCCACCCATGTAAACGTCTGTCTCCGCTTCCTCGTTTCAGTGCTACAAGGTGAGCTGCCTGGAAATCCCTGGGCCCCCTGGTCCCAAGGGCTACCGTGGACAGAAGGTAAGATGCCCAGACTGCCCGTGGGATCTGCTCACTGGGAAGCCCCTGATTTATTTTGAAATCCACATTTAAGGCCAGCTGTGCCTCAAATGGTCTCAAGACTTCTGACCCTAGAGAAACTAAAATTCTTTTTTTGTCTAATTCCTTTTAAATGGTATATTGAGAAAAGTAGAAACTTTTAAAAAATTATTAAGATATGCCATTAAAATGCTTTTGTAAGCAAGCATATTCAAGTAAGTAAATAAAATGTGAGATGCATTACAGTTAATAATATGATTGCTCATTAATATGAATGAACCTCTTTTGTGGTTTATTACATAAGTAGTTTTAGGGAGTCTGGGAATGTCCCTGCGTTTTGTAGGGCTATTGGCCTCACAGGGTTGTGGGGTGTCCCTTATGCTGTGCTGAGGTGCAGGATCCGAGCAGTAAAGAGACAGGACACTGAAGAACTGGGGAAGAGCATCTGGACTCAGAGCGCCACGCCACCTATGATATGAGCAGGGTCAGGCAAGGCCCTGAATACGCAGAAATATCTGTATTTATTAGGTACAGACAGGGGGAAGGGTCCTAAGTCAGGTCATCATCTATAGGCTTAGTGATAGGGCATACATAATCATGTGAGTCACAAGCGAGGGGGCCACCCCATTATGTCACCTGGGCAGAGAGGGGGCCGTGCCATGCGCAGTAGTAGAGGGTCGTGTACAGAAAAGGGGTCCACCCCCATTAGGTCACCGAGGCAAGGAGGTGGGCTGTGTGCAACGGGTGTCGTGCGCAACACTTCTTATCTCGGGCTGGAGATGTCAAAGGATTTCTAATAGAAGGATACTGTAAGCCAATGCAGTGGGAGCTGACAGACTTGTGCTCTTCTCTTAAGATATTTATGGGAGGATGATTTGCGCTAGCACAGAAGTGAGAAAAGACTGACAGGGTGTACAGCCACTGTGACTGCTCACACCAGAGGGATTCTTCTCCCTCGGTTACTTCCAGGATCTCAGGCCTGAGGCCTACTTTCCATAGGAACTGGATGCAAGGTGCTACAACTCCTTTATCAGGAGGAGAGGCTCCTGCTCCAAGCCTGCCGTACAGCGTATGCCCTTTCAGGCAGGGACGCCACCGCCTGCGTCTCTGCTTCTTGTCCTGGTCCGGCTGTTTTCCCATGTACTGCTTCTGTTCTGTGACTACTCTAGGCATTCCTCCTACTACAAACTACTATATGGTTACATGGAAGGATTCTATAAATTAGCACTAAATGTGTCAGTACAGTTCCAACTACAATACCTATATGATCATATAGAAAGATTATATGGAACTAAGTATGTTAGGTATAGGTATTAAATATGATTATATAAGCTAGATATAACAAGCAGTAAGTTATACTTCAGGCATGAATTCTATAAACTAATATATGATTATATATAAAGGATTATATAAAGGAAATAGCTGAGTAATAACACTATAAACTAAGATATTCCTCATGCACTAATTGTGCCTGGGGTCTGGACAGTTCTTCTTCCTCGGTGCCCATGGAGGGTGTTACCCACACGTTTTCCTAACAGAGGTACATAAAATAAAATCCTTCCAAAACTCACTAACAGAGTATGTGAAACTCCAATAATTCACATCTGTCAAAAATTATAAAGAAAGGCACAGGAGGAGAAAGCACCTTCTAAGGAGAAGACATAAGGAACTGGCCATTATAGAGGAAGTTATTGCTAAGAAGCTGCATGTTTTTCTAAATTTGGATGACAGCTGTCTAAACCAGTAGGTTTCTGGATGTACTTTCTCCAAGATGAGACATCTCCAGGCTGCAGGCCAAATCCTGCCACCTCCTTCCCTGGCTTCTCCAATCCTGGCAGCAATGCCTACCCCACCACAGCTGGGAATGAATTTGCCACTTGGGGCAGCCTTGGCTGCACAGAGCAGTGCAATGACCTGTCCTGTGGGCAGGGCCACTGGAGGCTGCCACAGGGATCACTAGTGGTTAGAGTTTGAGGGGTGGCAAGGTGCCAATGGGAGCCCAGGACAGAACACAGCTGTGCTGTTCCAGAAGCCTCTGCCCACCTCACCCCCTGCCCTGAGTGTCCTCCCTTTTCTTCCCTTCGATCTCTTAATTCCTCCCCTTTCCTCTCTTCCTCTTTGCACTTAAATTGGGAGCATATCAATAAATAGATGAATTTATTTAATAAAATTCTGTGTCATAGGTTAAAATTTTAATTCCAAGGGAGTGTAAACTTTATGTGGTTTTCTGAAGTCCTAATCTGTCTAAAGTGACTTAGACAGCTACCAAGGAACAGACTTAGATAAAGGAATTAATTTTTGTAGTGATGAGACCTGAGCATCACTGGAGAATTGGAGGCCAGTGTTGGCTATGGTCACAGCCACTGGGTGCAGAAGGCACCCCCCAAGGGCCAGGTACCCCCAACCCCAGGCTGCTGTTCTGGCTCTGTCTTGCAGGTGGTTTTCTGGGAAGCTTCCCCTAGAGCTGGGAGAAACGAATCAAAGCAAGCTCGAGTCTGACAGAGGCTGGGCCCCTGGGGAGCAGCTGACACCACGACATCTCCACCTGGGTGGGGTCCCCACCTGCCAATCCTGCCTTGGTTTACCCTTTTCTCTGTTGTCTGCTTTTAGGGTGCCAAGGGCAACATGGGTGAGCCAGGAGAGCCGGGCCAGAAGGGAAGGCAGGTGAGTGTCCTTGCCCCACACCTGCCTGCCTGCAGCCTAGTGCCCCAGGGATGGGCTCACATGGCTGCTTTGTCCTTCACAGGGAGACCCTGGCATTGAAGGCCCCATTGGATTCCCAGGACCCAAGGTGAGTGTGCTCAGCGAGGTCCTGGCTCCACCCTGCGGCCCCAGCACTGCCAGGCAGGCTCCCCCGAAGCCCAGCCTCAGCCTCAGCCATAGCACCTACCACCCTCCTGCCAGCTACCAAGGAACAGAAGCGCCTCGATAGCTTGATGGCTGCCCCAAAACCCAGCCTCTGGCCCAACTCCATGCTCAGCCTCCTCCACAGACTCTTTGTCGAGAACTCCGGATGCCAGCAGCCCCCCGAGTACCCCCCTCAGCCTGCAGGGCCAGCCCTTCCCTTCCTGTGTCTCGCAGAGCCCCTCACTAACGCCCCTCTCTCCTCCTGCCCCCAGGGCGTTCCTGGCTTCAAAGGAGAGAAGGTGAGGCTCCTGCGCTAATAAACCTGAGACCTGCGGCGCCTTGGCCCAGACCAGACCCACCTCACAGTGTCTGCTGAAGCCCGTCATTGCTCCTGGGGCACCAGGCTGGGCTTTACTCAGTGGTAGCTTTGGGGGTTTCTGGGGGGTCCTGTGGCCTCGAGCTTGGCCCCCGCAGAGACAGCAATGCCCATGATGCTTTGAGACACCGAGCTAACCGCCCCGGCCTTCCTCCTACAGGGTGAATTTGGAGCCGACGGTCGAAAGGTAGGCTGGCTGGGTGGGCAGAGCCCCTCGTTTCTGCTGCTCAGAGGGCAGAAGGACCGGGGCTAATGGAGTCCCCTCTTCCTTCTCTCTCCAGGGGGCCTCCGGCCTGGCTGGCAAGAATGGGACCGATGGACAGAAGGTAGAGGGAGCCTCGGGCTCACAGCTGGGCCTCCAGCCTCTGCAGAGCCCTCAGATCAAGTCTGACCTATCAGCTTACACACACTTGTGTGCACACACACGAGCACGCTCACACATGCACACACACACACACATGCATGCACATGCACACATACGCACACAAACACCCACACACACATGCACACGCACACACGTGCATGCACACACCCACACATCACACACATACATATGCACACATATGCACACACACGCCCACATACACGTGTGTGCACACAAACACCCACACACCACACACATGCACACGCACACACACGTGCATGCACACACCCATACACATCACACACACATATCACATACATGCACACACGCACACACACCCACAAACACATGCGTGCACACAAACACCCACACACATCACACACACATGCACACACATGCATGTGCAAACACCCACACACCACACACACAGACACACATGCACATGCACACACACGCACATGCACACAAACACCCACACACATACATGCACATCACGCACACGCACACGCGCATGCACACATCCACACGCATCACACACATACACACATGCACACGCACACACACGTGTGCACACAAACATGCACACACATCACACATACACATATGCACACGTACACACATGCCCGCCAACACACACGCACGTGCACACATGCACACACACACACAGTGCGGGGTAACTCCAGCTTCTAGGCTTCACCAGCCTGCATCTAATTCAAGGCTGCATGTCCTGTCTTGGGGCGGTTCCACAGCTGCCCACAGAGGCCAGCAACAAGCCCACCTCCTCCTGGTGGAGCCACAGGAGAGCCCCACCGACTCCTTCCAGGGCTCCCTGTGGGAACATCCTCTGTGCCCAGGGAGCTCTAGCTCTGCCCTCGGGGATGGCATCAGCCACTTTGCCTCCCGGAGACGGCTCAGCAGCCGTGGCCTCAGTGTGCACCCCATGTGCCGGGAGGGGCGCTGCAGTCCCAAGGTGTGCAGAACCTGCCTAGGCCCCAGAGCCCTGCCCTGAGACTCCTCCCGCCCCCTTCTTCTTCAGGGCAAGCTGGGGCGCATCGGACCTCCTGGCTGCAAGGGAGACCCTGGAAACCGGGTAAGGGCCGCTCACACCCCTCCTTCAGCCTTGGCTCTGGGGGCATGGGTGCCTCGCAGAGCGGAAGAATGGCCACAGCTGCCATGGGAGCTTGAGTTTGCCCTGCACCCCAGCACTCCAAGCCCAGCATTCTTTCGGGTCGGGGTTATGTGAGGAGTTCCCCCTGGGAGCTGCACCCCAGCACCCCAAGTCCAGTATTCTTTCAGGTTGGGGTTATGTGGAGTTCCCCCTGGGAGCTGAGGCATCCCAAGCTTCAGTGTCTGCACAGCTCCATTACCCTGAACAGCAAGTCCGGGCCTGGCCTCTAAGAGAGGGTGGGAGGTGCCTCTCGGGCTGGGACACAGGGCCTCGGGCCCTTGCTGTGAGCCGGGCTCCACCTCTCACTTCTCTCTCAGGGCTCCGATGGTTACCCGGGGGAAGCAGGGAGCCCCGGGGAGCGAGGAGACCAAGGTGGCAAGGTAAGTGGCCTTCCCAGGGTGCAGGCCGGCCGGGCCGGGTGGTCACCAGCCTCCAGGGGCCTCCCTGACCCCAAGAGGGGCCTCCTGGAGGCAGCCCCAGCTGAGAAGCTAAGCAAAGAAGGCATTTCCCAAAACACTGGCCAGTGAGGAGTCAATGGCTGTGAGATGCTGGGGGTGCCCACCCAGGGCAGGGGTACCCAACCCGGGCACCATCAACTTGCTTCTCACCCGGGGCTGCTCATCCAGCTTGGGGAGCTCCACAGCTGCCCACCTAGGACTCAGTAGCAAGCCCACCTCCTGGGTGGAGCCCCAGGAGGCCCCTCAGCATCTCCCGGAGCTCCCATGGAAATGCTTTCTGCGCCACGGGGGCTCTGTCTTCCTAGGCTGCCTGCAGTGTTGCCCTGTCCCTGGCTGTCCCAGGATCCCCACAGGTGGCTTTTCTCTGGGAGCTCTTGGACCTAGGGCCACCCACTTCCTGTCCACCTTCCCTCAGCCTGAGCCCAAATCTGGCTGAGTCCACTGTACAGATGCACTGAGGCCCTGCCCTTGCCCACACTCTGCCCTCTGCCAGCATGGAGGGTCCGGCAGCCCTGCCAGCATCTGGCATCTCGGATGAAGCCCCAAGCCTGACCATGGGTCCTGCGCTGGGTGTCCTGCACCCCCTTTCACTGCCAAAAACGTCAAACTGATTCTGCAAACCCTTCCAGGGGGAACCTGGCCGCCCAGGACGCAGAGGGCCCCCGGGAGACAGCGGGGCCAAAGGAAGCAAGGTGAGCTCCTCTGTGTCTGCCTACAGCTGAGCTGGCCACACTCACGCCCATGGCCTGGGTAGATGGTCACACTGGCCACCATCTCTGCTGTCACCATGATGCCCCTTGGGCTCTGAGGACATGGAGAGGGACAGGAAGGATGGGCCACGTGCCCTGCCACCAGCCCCTCCAACCTGTGCCCTCCTCATGAGGCCGAGCCAGCTCCAGGGAGCCCTGCAGGGCCCCCACGTGCCCAGCAAGCAGGTTCTGCTGAAGACAGCAGGGGCTTCACGCCACACACCAGGCGTGACTGCATCTCAGGGCCCAGCATCAGGCCCTGCCGTGGCCCCTGCCCCTGCGTGACTATGCTGCCCCTTCCATCCCCAGGGCTATCAAGGCAACGACGGAGCCCCAGGAAGTCCAGGCCTGAAAGGAGCCAAGGGCGGGCCCGGGCCCCGCGGACCCAAAGGCGAGCCCGTGAGTCCCTCCTGCCCCTGCCTCGGGCCCTGAGCCCCTGCACCCCCTGCAGCTTGAAGAGGGCCACAGGGAAGGGCACCAAGCTGCAGGCAGGACCCCCAGCTGGCCAGCCACAGCCACGCCCCCAACCCGAGACATGGGACTGGACCACCCCACAGAACCCCAGGGCTGCATTTAGAGGGGAGGCCCAAGTGGGTCCCCCATGGTGTTCCCTAGCCCAGCACCAGCTGCCCAGAGCTCCCTGCAAGGGGTGGGCATGGCCCGTCCAGTGCTGACCCCTCCACTCGGATAGTCCAAGCTCGGGGCCTGCCTGGGAGTGACTGGAGTGACTGGACGGCACCATGTCCCCGCCGGGCCCCAGCCCATCACCTCAAACGCCACTCCCAGGACATCCAGCTCAACCCGGAGCCTCCCCGTATCATTTCTAAGTCCTCGAATGGGCGGGAGGCACCCAGCAAAGGGAGGAGGGCTGGCAGCAGAGCCCAGTGCAGGCTGAGGCCGTCGGAAGGAGCCCAGAGATCCAGGTCTCAGGTCCCAAAACCGGAGCCTCCTGGAGAGAAGGGGGCACCAGTCCCAGCATGGCCCCCAGCAAGCCCCCCACCCTCTGGGGTCTCTGGGCTTGGCTGCAGCCCCCTCCCTCACCCACACGCCTGTTCTCTGCAGGGGCGCAGGGGAGACCCCGGCAGCAAGGGCAGCCCAGGCATCAATGGCACCAAGGGGGAGAAGGTGAGTCCCTGCTGGAGGCACTGCGGGGTACGCCGTGCTGCCCGCGGCCCTGCTGCTGAGGGCCTAGCCCCATTCCCCCTGAGAACAGAGCTCCAGGGCCTCACCCTCTGGGGTCACTCCCTGCAGAGTCTGGGAACGCAGCCCTGAGATCCCCACGCCCCATTTCCTGCTGAGGGAGCTCCAGCACCCGCCAGGCACACCCCACACAGCTGTGCAGGCACTGCTCACCCCTGGCCCACGGAGGAACCACTTACCCCGGGGCCCCTCCCCCGCCCCTGGACACACCCACCTCTCACATGGACCCAGGTCCAAGGCCTCAGCTGAGACCCACGGGGCCTCCTGTCCCTTCCCACAGGGGGACCCTGGCCCTGAGGGGCCCCGAGGCCTGGCTGGAGAGGTTGGCAGCAAAGGAGCCAAGGTAGGGGGATCAATGGGGGCTGCACCCCAAGGTAGGAGGAGGCCGCACCCTAAAGTGCGGGGAAGGGCTGTACCCCCAGGTAGGGGGGTCAATGGGGGCTGCATCCCAAGGTAGGAGGTGGCTGCACCCTAAGGTGGGGGAAGGGCTGTACCCCCAGGTAGGGGGGTCAACGGGGGCTGCACCCCAAGGTAGAAGGAGGCTGCACCCTAAGGTGGGGGGAAGGGCTGTACCCCCAGGTAGGGGGGTCAATGAGGGCTGCACTCCAAGGTAGGAGGGGGCCACACCCTAAGGTGGGGGGCCGAGGGTGGCTGTACCCCCAGGTAAGAGGGTCAACGGGGGCTGTACCCCAAGGTAGGTCTGTACTCCAAGATAATGAGGGAGGGGGCTGCACCCCAAGGGAAGGGACCCGGGCAGGGGTTGTACCCCAAGGTAGGTGGGAGCTGCACCCAGAACCTGCTCCATGCAGTGTGGCAGGGCTGAGGGTCAGGAGGAGCCACAGCCTCCAGGAGGGTCATGGGGGCCGGGGCCAGACCTGCCTCACACCCCAGGCCCTGCCCGTGTCCACAGGATTGATTTCGGGGTCTCCAAGATACTGCTGTCAGTCAAGAGGACCCCAACCTCCTCCCTTTTCTTCCAGGGAGACCGAGGCTTGCCTGGACCGAGAGGTCCCCAGGGGGCTCTTGGGGAGCCGGGAAAGCAGGTCAGTGCAGGACGCCTGTGGCCCCAGGCTAGCCGTGAGGCCCATGCCCTCTGATCCCACGGTCCATTCCCTTTTTGTGGCACCACTTGGGTCTCCGTATCCGTGGGGGGCAGACTGGTGCCAGCCACTGTCCCCGTAGCAAACCCAGGCAGTAGGTTGTGGCCCCAGAAGTAAGCGCCTGCTCCCTCAGACCCTGAGAACCTCATACCCACCCTCAGCCCCAGCCCCTGGTCCTGCCCTCAAGGATCTCGGTTGGGGAGTCATGGGCAAGGCGGTGGGCCTGAGGGCCTGGACGGGCCAAGGGGAGAGGAGGAGCTAGGACCCTCAAGACAGGGATCCATAGTCCCCCAGGGGGCCGGAGGAGCTGGGGCCACGTAACCTGGTAGTCAGGGCTGGACAGGGCATGTCAGGCCGGTCTCTGCCTGTGCTGACTTCTGAATTTCTCTCCTGCCCTCAGGGATCTCGGGGAGACCCTGGTGATGCAGGGCCCCGTGGAGACTCAGGACAGCCAGGCCCCAAGGTATGTGCCCCTCCCCCCAGCAGGATGTGTTGGGGGCTCAGGGCAGCTGCCGGAAGACCAGGACCTGGGGTCCAGCTTGAGGGGCTCTGTTGCCTGCAGACAGGCCTTCAGCCGGGCCCATGCCTCCTGTTCTCAGCTCTGGAGTGAGGGGTGCATCGGTGGGGTGGGGCCAGGGAGCCCTCCCGGCTCTCCCCATCAGCAGTGAGCCTTGGGTGCAGGCGGGGCAGGACCTGAGGGCAGCCTCTTGGCGCGAGCCGGGCTCTCCACGTGTGTGGGCCGGCGGCAGTCCTGGGCCTCTAGGCACGTCCAGCCCCCACTGGAGGTGGAAGGGGCAAGGCTGCCAGGCCCCTGCTCACACCAGCCCTGGACAGCACCTCAGCCCCGTTCCACCCCAGTGTGCACCAGGACCCTGCCCAGCACAGCCGCCCATCCCTCCCCCATCCTATGACCACACTGACCCACTCAACCTCCTCTTCCAGGGAGACCCTGGCAGGCCTGGATTCAGCTACCCAGGACCCCGAGGAGCACCCGTGAGTCTCAGGCTGGGATGGCAGCTCCCAGCAGGGGGTGGATATTGTACCAAGGGCCCTGGAGGTTCCTGGTAGTTCCCTCAAGGCCTCAGAAGAAAGTGAGGTCCCTCCTGGGGGTCGGAGGGGCGAGAAGCCTCTGGGTGACTCGGTGAAGGACAGGGCCAGCCCGGAATCAGGAGAAGAGTGCGGCTCAGAACGCAGCTCGGAGGCCTCGCCCAGAGTGTGCCTGTGGGGTGGGGAGCTGGGGCTGCAGGAAGGTGCCGGGAGGGAGGAAGGAGCGCTGGGATCTGAGGCTGAGCCTCCCTGACTTCTTTTTGCTTCACAGGGAGAAAAAGGCGAGCCCGGCCCACGAGGCCCTGAGGTATGTGCCGGTCCCGGCCACCTGTGCCCACCTGGGGTGGGGGTCTGCATGCCTGCCACTGTGGCTGAGAACACACTGCCACGGATGGTCTTGGCTCCCCAAGTCCCAGCCATGCCACCTGTGCTGAGCTCTGGGGGAGCTGCCAGCCACCAGCTGGTCCCTTTCCAACCAAAGTTCAGGCTTTGCCGAAAAAAAAACACATAGATGTTGCCATTTAAAGGACCCCAAAATGCCAGATTGATCTTTCCACGTAAAAAGCACACTGGTGTCCCTGGTAGAGGCAGCTCCTCCGTCCCAGGCTAACATGTGTCCCCTGTCACAGGGAGGCCGAGGCGACTTTGGCTTGAAAGGAGGACCTGGGAGGAAAGGAGAGAAAGGAGAGCCTGTGAGTGTCGTCATCCTGAAGCCCACAGCAGCTGGACAGAGGCGGGGAGGGGCCCTGAGGCTAAGCAGGCGCCTCAGAGTGTGGGAGGATGCCAGGCAGCTTGGCCCCAGCCATGAGCACCACTCCCACCTTCCTGAAGAGGATGGCTGGCTCAGGGCCTCCTCCCTCCACCCGCCCTCACTTCCAGCATTCCCCCAGGGTTCCCTTCCCCTCCCCCATACAGCATCTCCCCCAAGGGTCCCCTCCCCTGTGACCCTCCCACTACATCCCCCAAGGGTCCCCTTCCCGGCAGCACCCCCCTCCACCACCACACGGCATTCCCTGCAGAGCAACCCCAACACAGCATCCTCTTAAGGGTCCCTTCCCCCTAAAGATCCTCCCACATAGCATCCCCCTCAGAGTTCCCACACACAGCATTCCCCAAGGGTCCCTTCCCCAGTGTGGCACACACAGCATCCCCCAC